CTATCTACTTAAGGGGGACTAAAGATCCGTAAGGTACAACATGGGCCGCGACCCAAATCGCTACCCAGATCCCAGAGCCTTTAGGCCTGAGCGATGGATCCCATTTTCTGCACCAGCACATCATGAGTTTCCTGTTTTTCAGGCAGGGCTCTAGCGGTACTAATCATGGGAATAGAAGTAATAGCACTCATAGTAAGAATAATAGTAAAGATATTATTAATAGCAAAAAGAAGTAATCCTTGGTCTAGGGTTGGGTTCCAGGCTATTGGGGCTTGGGGGTTTCGGGATTCTGGGCTGAGGCATTTTTGGTTGAGACTGAGCATCCTTTGCTGGAGAGCCCTAGTACCTCCTGCCATATGAGCCGGGATACTAGGAGTTTAGACCATAGCTCGTATGCAGGAGTCACTTAAAGCCCATGATATTTTCAAGCTGGGTCTAGCCGAACAAGTAGGCCTTGCCATACTCCAAGCACAAGCCCGCGGGTCTAGGGGTTTAGGGTTTTAGTTTAGGGTTTAGGGTTTAGGGTTGAGTCGTTGTGCACCTGCAGGTAGCCCCTGCGAAGTGCAGGCAAGGGCCTGATTACGTGGACCCCCCCCACCCAGGAATACCACTATTACATGGCAGGGGGTCTGCCTAGTGCATGATGTAATTTAGGGCAGTTTCCATTTTCTTTTCCCTTATCCCAGTATTTCTATATATATATACATATATAACCCCTATGCCCCCTACATAACCCCAATATAATCCCAATAATCCCAATATATAGAGGGCCCCGCATTGCAGCCCCTGGAGGCCGGGCCACGCATATGCTTGGGCATGGACATGGCGACTTGTCATGTACTAGGGTTTAGGGGGTTTAGGGTTAACTTGCGTATTCGAAAAAATGGAACCCATGTTCCAAAAACCTTCCCAGGGTTGGATATCTGATATATTTCTGTAGTTCTCCCTAGTTTGCATGACATGGCGGAAGAGAAGATGCAAGCTATAAGTTCCGCAGATTATGCGTGCATAACGTGATGTGCAGTGCAATTTTGTTTTCTTGCCTTCATTGTTTGGTTCCTATCATGAGTTGCTTTCATGAACCGAAAACAGGAGGCCGATCACCTCAGCCCTAAATAGTCGTTTCCATCTTCTTTTCCATTCTCCCTACATATCCCCAATATACTATAGTAGTTTCCATTATTTTCGATTAGCCCCGGAATCCCTAAACCCTAAGTCCTGACATCTTCAGGCCTTGTTTGAGGCTAAGATTGCAACGGTTGAGCTTCTACGCCATTTGCAATTCGAGCTGAAGCCCGGGCAACAAATTACTTATGGAGACAAGATCACGATGAACATCAAGAACGGTGACAAGGATGAGCTTCTAGTTTGGATCAAGAACCGCTAGCGCTCTCATTTCTGCTCGACTCACTATGCTTTATGCGCAGTAATAGTTTTGAGGACTTGTCATCGTGCTCGTGCTTTTTGATTGTACTCACTTTCTAAGTAATAGGAGTCAGCAGAAGAGCTTGTTCCAGCAGCGGTATGCTTGCATTGGTTTACAGAAGCGTGCATTGGTGCATTCTTCGAAAAAGGTGCCCGGTGCGTGTGTGTGGGATGTTGTTCGCTTCCGTGCAACATCCAGAACAGGATATTAGGAATGTGGGTGGGGATTAACTTCCCGGTTCACATAGGAACTGTTGGTTGAGAAAATTAATCCTGTCAGGCGCTCCCTCTGCAAATTCTGCAACCCATGCATTTCTCATCAGTGAATAGGGAATGCCTCAACTTCGCCGAGCTTTGATACCATTGATATTCAAAATCGTACATGACCCTATGATACCCAGCTCGCACAACCATGAAGGCTAAGGCCGCTACTTGTGACAAGCTTTTCTAGTATTAACAATATCAGGTGCAAGTGACTCATGCAGTTGATGCACTGAGCCCTTCTTGGCTTGAAGCATTCTGCAGAGTAGGATTTCTGAAATCTTAGGAAGGTGGCCGGAACAAGACAAATTTGAGTCTTCCACTTTGTTCGCCGTGACCTGGTTAATACTGATAGTGTTCAGGGTAGTGCTCAGACGAGGCGCTCGTAGAACAAGTGAAGTCATCGTCGTACTCGCGAAAGACGATGCCCGAGAATGCTAACGGGTTAAAGGTTTAGGGTTGCAGCAACAGGAAGAAATACGGATCGTAGCAGAATGCTAAATTTCAACCACCAGCAATACCCGCCTACATACAAACCTTCATGAACTGAACATGGTCTTTCTCCTACCTTTGCTTGTATTGTTTCAATTTGGAAAAAATTGGGATCGGCATTTTCTTCAGGGAGCCCTGAAAGTGTTTAGCAGGGACCCCAATGTGGGCGTTTCCCTATTGATGGGGGCTTCAACATGGATCCTAATAGACATTATGGGAACCCTCGAAAAACCTAAGCCCTTTCTTTCCCCTATACAACCCCCCATACCCCTACCGAGCCCTTGTTCAACACTATATATCCTCCTTGGCCCCCCCACCAGTTTTTGGAACCCCAAGCCCTGAACCCTAAACCCAAATCCCCAAACCCTCAACCCTAAACCCCCAACCCTGAACCCTACGCCCTAATCCCCAAACCCTCAACCCTAAACCCTAAACCTTGGGTACTGTCCCCCCTCAATAACAGTTGGAAAATAGATATGATATGGTTATATATAGCCCTTAATAGCACCCCTAATATAGACTGTTACTGGGGGTGGGGCGGTGCCCAACTCTGAACCCTAAACCCTAAATCCTCAACCCTAAATCCTAAATCCTTTAGCCCTAAATCCTAAACCCTAAATCCTAAACCCTAAATCCTAAACCCTAAGCCCAAAATCCTAAACCCTAAACCCTAAACCCTAAAGCCTAAACCCAGGCGCGTCAAAAAAAAAACCCTAAACCCTAAACCCTAAACCCTAAACCCTAAATCCTAAACCCTAAACCCTAAACCCAGGCGCGTCAAAAAAAACCCTAAACCCTAAACCCTAAATCCTAAACCCTAAACCCTAAACGTGTTGGCAAGCTCCAAGGATCGGCCAACTGGTGGTCCAGAGCTTGGAGCCAGCCCCCAAGAAGGCTCCGAGGGATTCAACTAGGGTGTAGGGTTTAGGGTTTGGGGAAGGTTTAGGGTTTAGAGTTTAGGGTTTAGGGTTTGGGGTTTAGGGTTTAGGGTTTGGGATTTAAAGTTTAGGGTTCAGGGTTTAGGGTTTGGGGTTTAAAGTTTAGGGTTTAGAGTTTAGGGTTTAGAGTTTAGGGTTTAGGGTTGGAGTTCGGGGTTTAAAGTTTAGGGTTTAAGGGTCTGGCGTGTAGGATTAAGGGTTAAGCATTTAGGGTTTAGGGTTTAGAGATAGGGGTTTAGGGGGGTATATAGGGGTTATGTAGGGATAATGAAAGAGCAGATGGAAGCTACCATTCAGGGTAGGAATTTGGGATAGAATATCCCAATAATGGAGAACCAAATGGCAAAGAGAATGGACAATGTTTTTGGAACTGGGGCTTGTAAGGATGTATATTGTGTTTAGGGGTTCAGGGGATTTGGGACGAATTTGGGGTCAATTGCCTGCATTTCTGCGCCCTGACATCCAAGCCTGCCCTATATGAGCTAACCCTGAGGGAGGGGGACGTATATTGCTGCAGCATTGAGCGGTTTGGGGGTGCAGGACAGGATTGACGATTTAGGGGTGAAGGGCTCAGTGATAAAGGGGTTGTTGTGATTTTTGCAGGTCGGGGGTTGGGCGTTCGGGAAAGGGATGATGAGGGTCTAGGACTTATGGGCTCAGAGGTTTGGAAAGTTGGGAATTGGGGGGAGTTCTGGTTTCGGTCTGTGGGTTTGAGGCGGAAGTTTCGCGGACCTCAGCTTTCTGTGTTCTATGGCAGTTAACTATCTTCAGGACGCTTGATAGGTTTTGTCTCCTTGACACATTCCTTCCTGACCCTTTTGAGTTCGTTTGCTCCTCCCCAACATGGAGCCCCAGATGCCAGGTTTAGGTTTTTGGGTTAGGGTTTAGGGAGTTTAGGGTTTAGGGTTTAGTTCAGGTGCCTTTGCCTTGGAGACATCACGCTCGTCTGCATGCGTGTATGTTTCTTGTTATCACGCCGCCATGTTACGGCCATTATCGTTCTGCTACTCCGACGCTTTTGTCCACTGCCAGTAGTGTTGCCAGCATCTACCCTTACCCAAGGTAGCATGGAAAAGTTATTAAAAGCTATATACACCCCGATTTAAAAGGACACTAGTCAACTTGTTTAGCCCTACAAGATACCCTGCTACCTGTATGGTGGTGCAGAGCTCACTGGGTCGCTCATGAAACCATAAGCACTAAGCCCTGACACTCTAAACAAGAAGCAGAAAACCCCCAAAGCCCTTCAACCCCCTGACCTTTTTGGGCTTGCATGTTAGTTTGGAGGAGGATCTTAGCTTGTATTGCAGAACTCGTTTGCTTGCTGAACTCGCTGCTGTTCGCGGTTATGTTGCCAAGACCACTTTCTGTATCGGATTCATATTGGGAATCAAAGGTTAGGAATCCTTTTGTGGGACCTTATGAAACGTACTCCCTGCATCCTTTTGCATAATATCTATTAACAATCAGAGTGCCCCAATCCTTCTTCCCCAACTCAACGGCAGTTGATGGAAAGACAATGCCTGATATTGTCTCGGCAGGCAGCATCCAAGTTCGACACCAAGACTTGACATGCATTCGCAAGCAGGCTGTGAACTAGTTCCTTAGAGCTTTACCACCACTACAAAGTTTAGATCAAATGTGTGGAAGTCTGAGTTACTTATCATACGTCATGTTGTGACTCCTTTGCTAGTATGTTGCGGTATGTGTTCTTACTGGTCTTAATGCCTGACTGCAAGCTCCGTGCGCGGCGTCTTAGCATCACACCGGGGCAGGGATTCTTATAGTATTATTAGTATTTCTATAATTATCCTAAGTATGGTTGTTATTACTACTGCTGTTAATACTATTGCTATTACTACTATTGTGATTATTCATATTGCTTATTATTAGGATTATTATTCGTATTCGTATTATTGGGAGAATCACAGCGTCAATCTAGGCCAGTTCTATGTTTATCCTAGACATATATGGTAGTCTCCCGAAATAGGGAGACCCCAATACACACACCCAAAAACTATAATCCTCATTGCCCCCAAAAGGTCCCCCTAATTTTAGGAGACCCTAGCCTATCCTAGCCTAAACCCTAGACCCTGTACGCCCCTATATAACCCCTATATCCACTTTAAAGGATCCATACATAGGGATTATGCCCCTCCATACCTTCAGGTTGTTCTTGAAAGGCTTCTGCTCCCTCTCAGAGTTTAAGGACTCCGTCCGGCAGCCTGCGAAGTCGAACGCGATCCTCGCTAACCTGAGAAGAGGCGCTGCGGTTCCGGCTTCCTGGGTTGCTGTTAAGGGGTTTAGGGTTTAGGGGTGATATAGGGATAATACCCCCAATAATGGGGAATCAAATGGAAAAAGACCATGGAAACAGGGGTTGAGGGTTCCGGGTTGCTGTTAAGGAACATGAATTAGAAACCAGAATGGGTACATGCAGTAATTAGCATGGTTTCCCCAATACAATAAGTTAAGTTAAGGAACAGCAACCCATTTCCTTACCGCTTGTTACTTGTAGTAGGGAGTAAGGGAAACGGAAGCAACATGGAAAGGACTGTAGGGGATGAACCTGGGCCTACTATAGGGATTCATTCCTCCTTTCCCGACTGACATCCAGCAAGTCTCAGGAGACTCTGAAATTTATGGAGTTCAAGGTTCGCTCTGTAGATGAATATCAGAATGTTGATGCCAGCACTAGCATGAAGGCTTACAATAAGTCTACCCAATGTTAACCCTAGTATTGATGGTACTTTTTGTATTCATGTTGGTTAGCAGTCATGGGAGCTGATCGGCCGTTACATTATAACCTTCTTTGCGCTTGGGATGGGGGGTTGGTTGGGGGGATTTAGTAGGGATACTTGTATCCCCAGCAAGCCGCACAACAACCCGGGCTATTCTCATTGTCAGCCAACTCAATCCCGGCAAATCCCAAATGCTCAATAAATTCATAATCCGTTCTATTTTGCAGTACTTACTCAGTTCCCTGACACTCCAAACTAGTAAACCCTCAATGCCAAACCCTAGACCATATTACAAACCTACCTGTCAGGCTGCTCCTGGCAGTGATAAAGGGGCTTTTCAAAAAATGGGTACCCCGGGCTTCCCAGGGTTATTTAGGATCGCAAAGCAGATTATGGGGCACCTAGAAGGGATTCTAGAGAGAATATTTTGAGAAAGCCCAATTTGGGGTGCTTCTGCGAGCCGACGAGTTGACATTTTCCCCAAGACTGCACGTCCCTTAGGGGCAGACCTCGCAGAATCAGCCGCCATA